TACTTTGTAATCAAAAAGTTTTTTGGGGATTACCTTCAAAAAAAGCAGTGGACAGCTAAAATAGTGTTGTTTCCACACAAAAAAAAAAAAAAAAAGAAAAATGGCCCGCCCGCCAGCCAATGAATGGGCCTCTTGTATACTGGTGGCGGGCTGGTGCAGTGGCATCGCATGGGCCTGTACCAATCACCCATTCACCATTGTTGCCTCCCCAAAATCTTCCAAAGAAGGCGGAGAGAAACCACCGTTCTTCCCAAATTCTCCTCCGCGGATGGGATGGCGCTAGCAGCCGGCAACCGCCGCTTCTTCCACTCCTTTATACATAATCTTTCAATTCTACAATCTCTCTTATATGTGTAAAGAAAACGGCTCGATTTTTCCCAGGTAAAGTTTCATCCTTCATCTTGTCTTTTAGAGCTTTCCCAAAAACCCTAATTTTGTTGCTAAAGTTTGGAGAAGTAGATAAATTGGGCTTAGTTAAGATGTTTCATTGCGAAATATTATTGGAAGTTATTGCAATTGATCTTTTGATTATCTTATGTTAGCTCAATTAGAAGGCATTTGATTTGTTGAACTTTGTATAGGTCCTTGTTCCAAGTTTAAAGCCGTAGGAGTTTGTAGTTAATGCTAACTATTTCGAGAATCGCCAGTGATCTCTAGCTATTTGGAAACTTGGTTCTTATGGAATCTGCATTGGTTTAGCTTTGTTTAACCTACTTCTGGAAATAGTATGATTTTGCTGCTGGAAGAAATAATAAGTACCAAAGAATTTGGTTCTTTTGTTAACTGGTGATCACAAATTTTTTTTTTTTCTTTTTGGCCATCACAATAACTTGTTTCTACTCCTTGCAGGGAGTTGAATTGTTAGCATATTGATTGTATTTTTGTGGTAGTATGGATCAGAATAAGCAAAATTATTTCAAGACACGCAGAAACAATCAGTTCAAGAGAAAGGGGGACAGCAACAGGAGAGGGAGAGGGAGCAATTCCAGAAATGAACAATTATCAAGGAGCTCAAATTCTGCTGATACTGTCTATCGCATACTTTGCCCTTCAAGAAAAATTGGGGGTGTTATTGGAAAGGGTGGGAACATCATTAAAGCTCTAAGGGTAGAGACACAGGCCACGATTACGGTTGCTGATCCTGTCCCTGGTTCAGATGAGCGAGTTATTATTATCTATAGTTCTCCTACAAAGATTTTGGGGAAACATAACCCTGATGAGGATTTGACTGCTGGGAATGAATATGAGCTAATGGAGCCACACTGTGCTGCCCAGGATGCTCTCTTGAGAGTTCATGATCGGATTGTTGAAGAAGAACTCTCTGGTGGAGTAGCTTCAGATGATGATAATGAGAGTACTGTTGTCACAGTGCGACTTCTTGTTCCCAATAATATGGTAGGATGCCTTCTAGGGAGAGGTGGAGATGTTATTCAAAGATTGCGAAGTGATACAGGTGCTAGTATCCGTGTTCTTCCTTCTGATCATCTTCGTTCTTGTGCTATGAGCACTGATGAATTAGTGCAGGTAATATATCTGATAGTTTATGTGGTTTGCCTACTTTTGTTAATTGTATTCCTTTGATTAGTGAAGATGCCATATGGCATGTGATTTTCCCTTTTTCATTCTAAATTTATTTCTGAGTTTTAAATCATGTAATTTGAATTCAGAATTTTGTTTTGTTGGCAGACTTTTGGTTCTTTAATTATGAACCAGCTAACCTTTATTCCCTTGTGGTGTATAGTGTGTATGGTGGCTTAATTTTAAATTTATCCATGAAAGTGGTCTTGTGCATGCATTGTCATGTATGTGCTCATAGCCAATGGAATTGGGATTTGACCTCTTTTTTTTTTTTTTAAATTTCTTTTTTCATTTTTTGAGAAAGGGTTATATAACCTTGACAAATATCTTGATTATTGGGTGAGAGGATTGTTTTTTAGGGATGCTCTTACATCTGTTACTTTCTTCTGGCTATTGAGAATAACTGGAGTGTAGTGGCCTTAAAAGCATGCCGTTTTAGTATCTTAGTCATTAGGGCCTAGATCACCTAAAATGTCTAGTTATTTATGGGTTATCAGTAAGAATGTGTAGTTGGTTTATATCCTGTTGGAGCACCTGGTAGTTAGTATCTGTGCATTAGATCTTTTAGGCATTGATTTTCTCCCATTTCACATATCCACTTGTTCTTGTGGGTAACTGGACTGTTGCTTGTGCATTGGTTTGGGAAAAGGACAACAGCTTCTAGTTGGTAGCCTCTTACTGCAATGAGCCATGCAATAACAAATTGGTTCTTGCCTTCAGTTGGAGAATTGGACTTGTTTATGAATTACCTAGGTTGATCAGTCCATCATTGACGGCCAAAAGGAAAAAAAAAAAGGTCCTTCATTGTTTAAGCTTGCTTTCCATGAACATTTGTCTGGAATGCTTGCTTGCTGATGTCTACAAAGATGTGAAGACCATTAAGTGTACAGGGTGGTTCTGCTTGAGTACATCTGTTTAGGAAGAAACAGATTCTTGTCATTTTAGTTTTAAGTTTCACCGATGTGTGTTCAAATTGGAGTTAACCAGAAGCAAGCATGGTATTGACTAAGAGGTCAAGAAGCAAAAAGTGATGCAAGGTGACCAGGTGGATGAAGTGACATCTTTTTATCCCATTCTCATAATATTGTCCCTAGGGAAGTGATCAGGTGGATAACATTCAATAGGAAACAGAAATATTTGGAAGACATCCTTTCTTTTTCTGATTTTGTATTTGTATTTTTTTTCTCTTTCTTCTTGTTTTCTTCTGTTATGGTTATGTGTATCTGAGTTGGTTTTGTTATTTTGGATGTGGTGCTCAGAAATTGCCCTCACTTCTCTGAAGCTTTGGTATATTCTACATGTTTCATGATGCCAAAAATTGAGAATTCATTGTTCCGTGTTTGTTTTCTCTCTGTGCCTCCATCTTTAGAAATGAAAACAAAAGGAAGTAAGCATTTACTGTTTATGGCTATGGTCCTTCCTTTCTTTCTGGTTAAGGGACATAATATAGGATTGCCTTCCCTGGCATCTCTCTTATGATGGAGGCCATATTACTTTTGCTGGTCTGCTCTTTATTTTGTCCTTACTCATGTCAAATATGTCTGTTAATGCCATGATTTTGATGTTGGACTTTTAGTTGTGTTCTTTGCAAGTGATATTTTTATGATATTCTCCTAATTTCTAATCGTAAAGCCCCTAGTTCTAAACTGGAATACAATTCCCCCACTTCTGATGACCCCTTCTATTCAGGTTTTACATCTGAAATTCATATACAAAAGTTGTCTGATAATTTTGGATTTTTTTGCAAATTCTTACCAAGTATAATTTATGGAAGTTCTATTGCAGATATCCGGTAAAAATGACGTAGTGAAGAGGGCTCTTTATGAGGTTTCAACTCACTTGCATCAGAATCCTCGCAAAGATAAACCTCCTATGAGCTTTTCTGTGCCTTATGGGGGGCAGAGTTTTTCTCCTGCTCTTTCCCCCAGTAATTCATCATGGCCTCAAAGAAATTCTGCACCCTACAGTCTGCCACCAGTGCCTTGGATGGGGGATAAAGGAAAGCAGCCTTCCAGATTTGGGCCAGGTGGCTTCAGTGGTGTCCCTCCACGTGGTCGGGAAGCCCCAGCCGAGTTTTCAATGAAAATTTTGTGTGCAGCTGGGAAAATTGGTGGGGTGATAGGCAAGGGAGGCTTTGTTGTTAGACAATTACAGCAGGAAACGGGAGCCAGTATTCATGTTGAGGATGCATCAACAGAGTCTGATGACCGTGTTATTCGTGTCTCTGCATACGAGGTAATCTCTAACTTGACCACATCTTGTTTATTGCTGATGATATTTTGACTTTTTGATATAAACTCCTTATTGATGCTTAAGGATATGATCCCTTTGCATGTTAAAGAAACACTTACTGTAGACATGCATATATATTTGTAGGTTCTCTGCGATCCTAGATCACAGACCATTTGCATGTTAAAGAAACACTTACTGTAGACATGCATATATATTTGTAGGTTCTCTGCGATCCTAGATCACAGACCAT